CCCACCTCAAGTTAGGTGATGGCTGACCTGTCATTAGTGCACGACTTAGGCAAGGGTGCTGATAAAAAGCTGGCAAGCATTTCAACGCCTTTTAGCTGTCAAATATAGATCGCATATCCAATTTAATTTTTTTTGCTACATTTATGAAACTTGTTTCTCCCATAGAAAACGGTAGAGCGTTTTTTTTTAAACCACCCTATATATTTTTATTATTATTATTTTTTTATTTGGCGAGTTGATGGTCTCACTATTTTGCCTTCTTCTGGTCGGGCGGTTGGTACGTCGAAGCCCCGCCACCTGACGAAAGTCGAATTTAGAAACCGATGAGCAAAAATATTGGCAAAAATCCACGCACGACAAGGGGAAAGCGAAGACGCACTGTTGAGGGCCGCGTCGATCCGGGACTGCCGGAGCACCCGGGGCCGGCTCTTCCGGAACAGGGTCACGATCAGGAGAGACGGCGGGAACACCACCAGGTTCGCCATTATCCCAACTCCAATCTGCACAGAATCCAATTTTTTTTTTGCAAAAGTGTTTAAAATTAGTCGGCATCGAAAATGATAAATTGCCTCTGATCATCGTGCCGATCTTTCTGAGGGAATCTCATCGAAATCGTCTCAAATCGCCCGAGTTTTCCCATTTATTCTATTTTCAGGTTTCCTATTTTAGGTTCGACATCAGCGATTTGAAGCTTTTGGACGACTGGAGCAAAAAGCGGCAGCAAATGAGAGTAAGCGGTGGATTCTTCGCATCGTTGGCCCTATTGCATCGTGTTCAATTTTGGAGGTTTGCAAAAATAAGCGATTTGATGGCGCTGGAGTCGGTCCAGCGGTGGGCAACCAACATGATAATCAAAGTATGAAATTTTTATCGTTCGTTCCATCCGCTGGAAAGGTTACGAGGGCATGCCTCACCCAGGCCTTTGTTTTAAGATTATGCTAATAAGTATGGAGTAAATTTTAATGAGGGGCGGGCCTGTCCGATCGTATGCGAACAATGGCTCGTCATCCCGGGCAAAAACGCCTCTTTGGCTTTCAGAGTTTTGCAACTTCGTCGATGATGCGAGAATAATTGAAGGAACCCTCGGGAAAACGTCTCCGTCCCGACTTTCCAGTGCGTCGATATTCCCGACTGAAACCTCGCAAATAATAATAATAAATTCATGCCTGCCAAAAACCCACGAGCCATTAAATCGATTTAGAGAGAGAGAGAGAGAACCTGCGCCGGAGTGAGGACAAAAGGCCCGAGCTTGAGCGCATTCCCAGTCGGCGTTTCCTTCACCGTCCCGTACCACATGGCGTTGGCCAGCATGGACAGGTAGAGCAGCGCCATGCAGCACGACACCCGCTGCACCCGCGTGAAGCGGCTCCGCGGCGGCCGCATGAACACCGAGAACCACAGGTGCCCGTCCCGGAGGTTCCTCTCCCTGTGCGTGTCGAACAGGAACTTGGAGTTCTTCTTCTGCTCCTCGCTGGCCACCGGCAGCAGGCGGTCGATCTGGGGGCGTGCGAATCGCGACTCGTGAGGGAAAATCGAAATCGAGCCGGTCGGCGAGGGGAAGGTTGGAAACGGAGACGAAAGGGGGGATTCGAGAGTCACTGCGTATCGATCAAGTCTTCTCATATTTCTCGATTCTTAACTCAATATATTATGAATAATAAATAAATAATGAATATAATAATTAAAAAAAAATAATTAATATAATAGTTTTAATAAATAACGCATAAAACAATAATGTAAATAAATTATATACATTTTACCTTTGCATATGATACATGATAAATAAGGGGGAAAATGTAAGTACCTGTCCATCATCCTCCTCGACGGCAAACCACCGGTCGGCGACGAACTCGTATTGTTCACCGGTCTGGATGTCCTTGATGACGACGTAGTTGAGGAACCAGGACTGGCTGGAGCCCCGACCGGAGTTGTCGTGCCAGATTCGCAGGTATGTCAGGTTCCCCAGGGGCCTGCCAACGATTACATGTATTGCCTGTTAATTTTTATTTAGTCATTGAGCTCAGATTAATAATTTAGGAAAGCATGGAAAAAATGCGTTTAAGCAAATTAATGCGAAGAATCAGCATGAGTCATCTAACAGCGACGTGCGTCACCGGCCACAACAAATAATACACGGAAAGAGTCGTTGAAAGACGACGAAACCCGCGAGCGACAGGCCCATTAGTAATCGCGAAGCCAAGGGCATTGTGATGCTAAGGGAAATAATGAAGCCGAGGGCAATTGTAGTGCTAAGGGGAATTATGCCTCGGCGAAGCATCAGGAAGATCACCGAGCCGTATATGATCGTTCATTCCTTCAACTTCGTACGTGATCGATTCACAATCCATACCGAGGAAGCCTAAGAGAGAGAGTACAAATTCGCACAGGTCATCACCATTACTCTTCTCACATCAACCAGTTGAAGCGCGAACGATGGAATCTCGCTCCATCACCACCTCCCCCCCCCCTCCCCCCCACCCACCGACACGACAGTCATCCGTCGGCATTCGCGCGGAGGAAAGCGAACCGCCATTTCCCCCTTCGTGTTCCCTCCCCACCCCCCGCATGCCGTGGATTCCCTACCTCGCAGTGGTCATGACGAAGGCGTCCATGTTCCCCCTCCGGAACACAGGCCTCTTCGGCTTCCCGAAAGTCCTCACCTCCGTCTCCTCCTTCTCCCCCGCCAGGATGAACTGCAACGGAAAGAGCATCCTCATCCATACCCGTCCTCCCTCCCTCCTTTCCTCATCCTCCCTCCCTTCTCCCCTCACCGAGACGACGGAGTCAGTTGCGGCGCTGTTCTTGTCTCCGGTGTTGACCAGGATTTCGTAAACGTATTTGTGATGCGGATCGTTGTCCGGGAGTGGGATCGCACCGACCTGCACACACAATAATAATAATAGGCATCCACCTTTCGGTTGCATTTCATTCAACTAAACTTCAAATTCAAACGTTAAAAAATGACTCAACAATTACACCACACATTCAATTACGAATAGACGGACCATTTCCACGTCCTTATTGTCCTGCCACCGGGCCCAGATGAGGAGAACGATGTAGATGGCCCCGCTGACGATGATCGTCATGTAGATGGTGACATTGTCGTCGAATCCGGCGTGGGCGAAGACGTAGTCGAAGTTCACCATGTTGGGCATGACGAAGAAGCCTCCGCCGAACATCGTCAAGTGACTCACGTTGGCCGTCAAGTGATCCCACGACGCTCCGGTCATCTGCAACGATGCAGTTCCGTCGAGGAATATTTGCGGGAGACTATTCTTGGGAATCTCGATCGATTGATTTGTCTTCGAACTTAAGAAATTCATTCAACCCAAAATTCCTTAGCTAAACAATGATTTAAAGTCATATGTAAGAAAAAAGCAAGGATATTATCATGAAAGTACACGGAAATAAAATATAAACGACCCCTGTATTTAGGCATAAAATATGGACAAATTGTGTTTTAGACGATATTAATGAGGAATATAAATTAGAGGGCACAGAAAAGGAACGATTTAAAATAGACAAACAGTAGTAAAATGCTGACACTAAAAAACGCAAGACATTTCACTCAGTCCAGGTGAAAAGGAACGCGACAAACCTCACGTTCGTCATTCAACGCACGAAGAGAAAAAGCTTTCCCAGAAAGGCAGAAACCTCGAAAACGGTTTTCCACGCAACTCACGTTGATCCCGTCGTCCTTGTATCTCTTGGAGGACTCGTCCCAGTAGAGCACGGAGGAGTGGATGCTCTGGAGGCAGTAGCGGGTGGAGAAGGTTTGCAGGAAGCTCAGCATGGTGTCGAAGGTGGGGACGTCCTTGAGTATGTCCTTGAACTTGAGGCCTTTGAGGAGCATCATGACCCCGATGGTGACGTTGGTGCCGGGGTTGTCCCCGGTGGGCTTCGTCGGTTCGTTGCTGCTCACCTCCGAACACGCCAGGATGCGGTACTTCCCTGGTTCGCCTGAATCATTTGTTGTTCATTGTTATCTGTTATTTTTTTTATTATTTATTATTACGGGAAAGGTCGAGAAGATGATTAATTCATCTGAGACATGCGCTTTTGACTTTCTTAAAAGTGGTAAAACTCCTTAGGGACTAGGCATTTCTCATCGTGACACAGGTTACTTCCGGTTGTGACTTGATTGCCTACTTGAGGAGCCCCAGGTTAAGCAAAGGAAAGCTTAAGCACAGATGAAGCACAGCAACATTATTAGCTTCCGACACCAATCGTATGGTTTTCCCGGAATCGGGCATCTCCAAAACCACATCACCAAATGTAACTTTTTTTGAGGATTTAACAGCAGCGGAAAAGCAATAAAAACAGGAAGTGCACCCCGGAAGATATAACCGTTGCGTGGGATTTCTCACAATAAGTACTCCACGACTTGTCTATCGAATTTCTCAAATAGGTGCCTGTTTTGCTGGAGTGATACATTTTTTGGAAGAACCTGCCCCACAAGTGCGGTCCAACGGGATATATACCATCATGGTTGCATAATAGTTGCATGATGGTCGCATAAGGGTTGCATAATGGTTGCCTGACTGTCACGCATGACACGAATCGAATTTGTAAATGTCCCAGAAGGGGCAATATAATGTGATATTGGTATAGATAATATTTTATATTTTTTCAAGGTGACTTTCAACATGGCAGGTGTCCGCTCCGTCTCGACCGTCGCACCGTTGGCCTGCGAACATTGCCGCTGGTGCAACGCTCAGCATCACTCGGGGACCGATTGGCGATCGCGGTTCTAAGAGGGGAGAATTACGACTTCTTAAAAGATGATGATGATCAGTTGCGACGTTTCGCTGAGATCTTGGCGCGAAAGAATCGGGGCCTTTTTTTTTCTGGCGCATGTTGGCAACAGTTTAAATTTTGCACATAATATCGCGCGAATTTACGAATCAAGAGAACTTTTTTTTTGTCAAGCTCAGTCGGTTTCGTCTGGAGATGTTTTGCATCAGCATTTATTATTAATTATTTAATTGTTATCATTCACCGTCGACTCAAATTTCCCAGTTTCGCGCAAATTGCCCAAGTCAAACCGAAAAACCACGGAAATCGGACTCATTCCTGTCCACGGTTAAAAAAAAAAATAGCAAAAAATTAGCGAAAATTACGAAAAATTGGCACAAATTTTCTCACCTTCCACCTGCGTGAGCTGCGTGATCTGGAAGGCCCCCATGTAGTCGCCCGTCTGGTCGAATTCCCCCGGGACGGGCGTGGGCTGCCCGTCGGACCGGCTCAGGAGGAGAAAATTCTGATTCGGCACCTCGGCCGCGTCGATGATGAATTCCAGCACGAGGAGCCCGCGGTTCTTGGGCTTCTCGAACGTGTGGTAGACGATCGGGAGCCGTCGGTTCTGCAGTCGGGCCACCGGGTCCACGAACTCGCAAGCTGGTTCGAGGAATTTTTAGCGTGAGTTTCGATCGCAACCGAACGTCCGGGCACCGGATTCCGGAAACGGCATACTCGAAGAAGCGTTGGGTTGGGGCAGAACGGGGATTTTCAGCTGCAGGGGCGGATCGATGTTATGAAGCGGAATGGTCGTCCCGTTCGCGTCTTTCAGGTCCACGGACACGGATTTCACGCCCCCGACGGATTCCGCGTTGCTCAGTTCCCCATTCTGTAGGAGATTCACGAGGTGAAGAACCCTCGAGTTCCCACGGGATTTCCATATGATTCCCGCAAGATCCCACAAGATCCCACAAGACCCCACAAGACCCCACAAGACCCCACAAGATCCCACAAGATCCCGTCAGGATTCCCTCAGGACCAGGGGCCTCACCTTGGTGGCCTTCGGCGTCTCGACGAGGACCAACCCCACCGGCCTGTCGCAATTCTGCAGAGGACACTTCGGGAACGAAACCGACGAGCCATCCCCGAATTCGATCGGCTTCTTGCTCAAGTCATTCGCGTCCAGCCTGAAAAGCCAATTTCTATGAGACCGGAGTACCGGACTTTTCTCACCGAGCCCGCCGATCGCGAGACCACCCGAAGCCCACTTCTGCACTTCGTGGAGGTGCACAAACTTCGTCGCACCTCCCGAGTCGCTCATCGACGACTCATCGTCACCGATGAACGACTCGTTCGTTTCGACGACACGCTCATTACGACCGATCGAGACACGAAAGACTCGCTTGGATATCTTGATGCTGGCCCCCGTGTCCGTCTTGACATCCACGCTCTCCCCGACGACCAGCGACTCCACGACCTTGGACCCGATCTTATCGATGACGTCATGCACAGCATCCCCCAGGGGCCTGGACTCGTACCGCGCCCGATCCAGGATGTAGCAGCACTCCTGCGTCCGGGGGTCGCTCGCCTGCGCCCACAATTTATCTGCAAGGATTCGCGTTTCACGGTCGTGCGTGCTCCGTGCGCGCTCCGTGCCCCGATCGACGAGAGGTGGACTCACCCAATGGAGGCATCTGATAGTCCAGGGTCGTCTGTTCCCTGTCGACGGGGGAGCAGAAGGGCGTGTTCACCAGGGGATCTTCGTCGCAATTCCCGCCGTTATTCAGTTGACCCAACACGCCCTGAAGAACACGGAAGGAGGTTTTTCAAGAACGTTCCATGAAAAGCGTTGCAGCCTGCATTTCCCGACTCCTCGCCCTCGCAATACACCCGCCGGTTCCTCAAATAGCATCCGCACGGATCGAAGTTTAAGCCATAATTATTACCGCTCCCCACCATCGCACTGTCCTCGACTCCGTGTTGGCCTAACGCTCATGCCCCCCCGATGATGAAAATCCTACCGATTCAGCCTGAACCAGTCGATCGCTGAGCAAAAGGCTTTAACTCCAGAGCAAAGTCAGCCGATAGGCGGCGCCTTTACTTCCGCAAGGACGACACGCGACCTGGAATCCTAACCGCATCAGGCCCGATCCATCCACGCCGGTGGATTGCATCCGGCCTCCGACGGTGAGGGACAGGGCGTCGCCTCTATAGAGATCTGAGTCACTTCATGATTGGAACCGGCGGGAAGAGTTCTCACAGGTCGTCGAAAAAGTAAACGGATGATGATGATGAGGACGTTATTATAACATATAATATATTAAAATAGCTGGTGAAAGCAAGCTCTGACCTCCATTGCTTTGGGTCCAGCGACGAGCAGGTTGGCGAGGATGGGCACGGCCGTCTGGGGGCTGGGGAAGTCCATGGCGCCCAGGGTGGGGGCCATCCTCTGGAGGATGTCGGTCATGGCCCGGCGGGCCTCGAGGCCCAGGGCGAGGGTGGAGGCGTCGTTGGGGTCGATCCCGGAGGTGAGCTGGGCCAGGGCGCTGGTGGCGGCTAGGATCTGGCCTGGGGTGGCGGTGCTGCCCAGGGCGTTTAGTTGCTGCAGGGCCTCTTTGAAGGTCTGGGGGGGGGGGATGATATGGTAAAAACATATAATAAAAAGGGGCTGCGTCATTTTCTTTATCTTACCTATATTTTGCCTGCGATGAAAAAAATATACAACACTTAAAATGTTGGGGAGGATTGGAGGACCGTCGACGTCTTTCCTTTCTTCAAATGTATATATATACTGTATATATATGTAACATAAATAATAGGGGAAGGCTTGGAAGTTAAACTAAAGCAGCTAAACCTTTTGCTAAACTGGTGATTGACCTTGGAGCTTGGGCCTCCCGCATTCTGAAAATCCATGTTCCCAAAAAACGAAGACGAGAAAGACATCGGGAATGACAACTTCCAGACCGAAACGAGCTTAAATCGTCGAGTCGTCGAGTCGTACCGCGAATTAAATGTAATGAAAAAGTCGGAATTCCCACCGCCTGGATGTCGAGAAGCCTCTTCTCGGTCTCGTTGGCTGGGAGGCCGGCCGCGAGGCTGACGTTGAGCCAGGGAGCGTTCCGAGTGACGGAGGCGCGGGCTTGGGTCATCATGATCACGGTGTCGGTGTCGCCGGCTGCCGACAGTTGGTTCAGCAGGTTGGAGTTCGCCTCATAGGCTTCGCGGGTCGGCATTATCATCTGGGTTGGAAAAGGCGTTGCGAGATTACTGTTAAGGTACTGTTGAGCTACTGTTAAGGTACTGTTGAGGAACTGTTGAGGTACTCACGGTGAAGTTGCCGAGATCCACCGTGGTGTAGGCTCCCCACATGTCGGTGACGTTGACGAAGAGGTTGTAGACCCCGAGCCCGAGATACAAAGTTTCGATCGGAACGTTCGTGGTGACCAGGTCGGATCTCTTGTATCCGTCGTCCACTTGCAAGGCTGTCGACAAACGCATCGATGAACCACCTGATCGCACGGAAGGGCTCACCCGGGAGGAGGGAGGGGGGAGGAGGGCGACCACCCTCTCCTCCTTGGCCAGATTCGCATACTATTTTGTTTTAATTAAAAAAAAATCAAATAAATTAAAAGATACAGGTTTTACCAGGGACGAAAAATGAAAAGGCCATTGGACGGAAGGTGAAGGTGGTGAAGGTAGGTTGGAATGAGGAACGCCCCCTTCCCCATGCCACTGAGCTGCCCTCGCATCTAATAGAGACATACCAAAATGAGTGTAGTCCTTGATCCCGGCTCCTTCCTTGTCCACCCAGCCGACGCAGGTGACGTCGATGGGGTCGATGGAGGCGTTGAGCACGGAGCCCGACTTCGGCACGGTCGTGCACGTCCCTTGCTGCGGCGGCGAATTCACCGTCATGTAGTATTCCGAGTAACCTGCACCGGAAAATAAAAACTTTAAATCCCGCTAAAAAAAAAAATAAATAAATAGAGAAGACGACTTTTGACGGACCGACTTCCTTCGTCTCCGCATCCGTGATGGTCAGCCTGAGAGCAAACTTCTCCAGCCCCTTCTCCTTGAGATACTTGAAGAACTCCTCCGACAGCGTCATCTCCTTCCCCGCCAACCCAACTGCCAAAAAAGTCCAAATAACCCAACCACCCCCTCCCCTCCCCCCCCCCCCCCCCACCCC